CAACAAAAGGATATTCAGGATATCCTTGGGACGTCCTGGGGATATCGATTTGTTTTCGGCGGTTTGGATATCCCTGGGATATCTTAGAGATGTCCATGGATATCCAGAGGATATCTTAGGGGTATCCGAATCGCCAAAAGCAAATGGATATCCCCAGGACGTCCCAGGGATATCCTGAATATCCTTGTGTTGTGAGGGTATATATAATATTTGTCATTTCATCTCCATTCTTAAACTCACACACACCACACACACATATTCAAAGCACACCACACACACATTCAATACAACTTGATTGCCACAATATATATATATTTCTCATAGCGCAGCCGTTACTATTCAGCGCAGCCATTTCCAATTCAATGATATAATTTATTTATAAACTAGAGTTATTAGATTTCCTCGTAGTCTAATTGTTTTAAAACATGTGTTAAATATTATTGTAATACTTCTTGGTAAACAATGTTTCTTACATAAATTTCTTTTTCATTGGCAATTTTTTTTAATTCGTTTTTCGCTATGTGTAATACTTGAATTTTTATTTAATAATACTTTAAGATTATATTTTGAAGTTACTCTTGATAAAGCAACATATAATTGTCCGTGACTAAAAACATGTGATGGAAGGTATATGCCTCCCGGCTGAAAAAACTTGTACAAGAAAATGTACAAGTTTTTGTACATGTTCATTAATGAACTTGTACATTTTCTTGTACATTTTCGAGTAATGTTCTTGAACAAGTTCAGCATCCGGAATTGAGACATGTTCTTGTACCAGAACTTGTACAAGATCTTGGATAAGAAAATATACTTGTACAAGAAAATGTACATGTTCTTGTACATATTTTTTGTGCAGGTTTCATGTACAAGTACTTTTACATGAACACGTTTATGTTCTTGTACAAGAACATTTGTTTAAAAATGTTTTTGAAAAAAATTTGAAATTTTAATAAGTTATAATTATTAAGAATCTTCACTTATGAATGCTAAAAATTATTGCGCAGCTGTAAAGGCTTAAAAAAACTACTGCGCAGCCTTTAAAGTTTTTAATTTTTAATTTAAAAGACATAAGTGAACATGTACAAGAACATGTTCCACATCTGGTACAAGAAAATGTATATGAAACCTGCACAAAAAAATATGTACAAGAATATGTACATTTTCTTGTACAAGTATATTTTCTTGTCCAGGATCTTGTACAAGTTCTGGTACAAGAACATGTCTCAATTCCGGATGCTGAACTTGTTCAAGAACATTACTCGAACATGTACAAGAAAATGTACAAGTTCATTAATGAACATGTACAAGAACTTGTACATTTTCTTGTACAAGTTTTTTCAGCTGGGCTACTTTTTGGAAAGATTGGCCTTGAGATTTGTTTATTGTTAAAGCAAATCCAAGCCTTATTGGAAATTGCTTTCTTGACATTTGAAATGGTATTTCTTCGTTAGACGGTGACAATGTAATTCGTGGCAAAATTACAATCTCATTTTTATAATTTCCCGTTAGTACTTGTGCATGAATAGAAAAACTACCCATTTTAATAACTTTTAGTCTTGTTCCATTACAAAGACCTCTTTCTAAATTAATATTTGGAGTTAAAGTATTTAATACTTCAATTGGTATTAAGTTAGTTATTGTGTCACACTTTTCATCTTCTTCAGATGAATCTATACTTAAATATTCTCTAGGTTCACCTGTCATTCGTTTAACAACATCATTATTTAATTCAAATACATTATTATTTCTTGGTGCTAATATTACTTTTTCTTGAATATCACATTCATTTGAAACTATGGATTTTCCATAAATTTCAGTAATTAGATCATCATTACATATTATTTCATTAGGTAATTTTACTACTTCATTATTTTCTTCAAATGTTTTGTTAAATTTCCTACTTGTAGAAGTCAAGTTTTGAATTCTTTTTCAATTATTAGATACTCTTTTGTAAAGTTTGTCTAAAATCGACAGATGCAATAATAATTTTATTACCAAAACTTTCTGTACTTATACATAAATCTCTTAACAATCTATCTACTGCTTCAAAAGCATGCTTTGAAGTCATGGTTATTTCATCCCAAATTATTACTTGACATTCTTCAATTTTTTTGCCATCAATTGTATTAGGATTTATATTGCATATTGTTTGTTCATTTATCGTCAATGGTAATTTTAACGTTGTGTGTACAGTTTTGCCATTTATCAATAAATTTGCTGCTATCCCTGTCCATGCCACTGACATTATTGAAATTTTATTTTCAGTGAAGAATTCAATAAGTGCATTCAGTAAATAACTTTTACCACTGCCTCCAGAACCATCATCAATGAGGACCCATTTTCTCCAGGTTTAATTTCACTATCAATGGATGGTTCTAAGTAACAAATGGGGAAAGATAATTCAATATTTGTTGGTAAATTATAATCTTTTAACGATAAACTATTCATTATTAGAATATTCCTTATTATTCTTAAAGCCCAAATTTCTCCTTGCTCAGGATTTATTTTTGGATGATAGAAGTGCATTTTATATTTTTCAAATAATTCACAAGCAATTATTGGATTATGATATATACATATGTAGGCGAATAATTCACATATTGCTCTTGGAAATTGCGTTTCACAAGCTTATTAAGACATTTGTCCCATTCGTCATCTGATGAAATTAGTTGTCTTTCTTTCGCGGCATCAAAAAATGTTGGCAATATTATATTATTAAATGTTTTTAAATCATTGAATGACGTAGCACTTTTTACAGGTAAGAGCAATAATCTAAGATGAAATTTTTCACGATAACGTGGACGTACTATGTACATTCTACTTATAATAGGTTTCTTTATTTTAATTCTTTTATTCCAAACTTTTTTTAAGCAGATTTTTGAAATATTAAAATAATTGTTTCAAGTCAATAAATATTACAAGTTTAGTAAAAGGAAATTTATAAAGAACAGAGGAAGACAAAATAGACTTCCGCATGTTTGAGAATCACATTTATAAAATACGAAGGTCAAATTCTCAAGCGTTGCAAAGTAATTAGATACTTTTCTGTAGCATTTATTTTATCATTATTTGGTGAGTTGTTTTAAATCTTCATGTATTAATTGTAACACACATAATATATAATCGAAAAACCAACACTATTACACTCAGTTCAAGCACATAAAGTATTTTCTTATTGATGAAAATTGCCTTTTATCTGATCTTTTTGTTTTGCTTATATTAAGTGATTTTTGTGAGACTTGATTTTAAAATCAAGTAGCTTAAAGTAAATATTGTTTTAATTGTAAACATTTTTTTTATTAAAGATCAATTGGGGAATTAAATTTAAACACTCTGGGGGTTGGATGAATAAACATATTTCTTTTGTAGTGATAATCACGTTTCTATTTACTCAATCACCTTTTTGATTTCTATTTTATATCTCACTTTTAAATCATTTTCAATAAAATACCGTCTAATCGGGTTTATTGAATAAATAATATTCTAAGGAACAGTCCACTACCTTATTCTAACTTGGTTAGCGAAGAGCAATTTACGCTTTCCAAATAAGCGGGATTGTTAAATAATAAAAATTAGTATTCTTTCTAAATGTTTATTATTTCTCTTTAAGTTATCTATTTTTATTTTTTTTTGTTAATTAACATCCGTCTTTAACAGTACTAATTAAAAGCTGACGTAATTCCGCATCCAACGAGCCCCATGTGGACTATTTAGGATTAGAGGATTTTTTATAAACAATTGCCTTGTTAGCCAATTGTTTATTAACAATTTTGTCAACTTTCATTTAGTAACGTCAGAATTACGATACCTTTATTGGTTTATAAAATATATAACTTTTTATTAAGATTAATTAATTAATTAACTTATATATCGAAAATAACAAAAAAGGACATCTCAATATTTATTGAGGTAAAAATGCACATTTTTAACTTCAAAAAAAAAATAAAATAAAAAGAACCAAACTTAAAAAAAAGTTTTAAAAAATTTTGATTTTCAGAAAAAAGGGTCAATTTTTGAATTTTTTGAAATTTTTTCTTCACGAAACGAAAGAGCACAAAAAACATTTGGAAAACATATATTTCAAAATTTTTTTATTGACTTATATAATATTAACCATTTTTAGTTAATTAATTAACTGTTAAGGTTAATAAAAAATATTTTATAAACCAATAAAGGAAACGTAATTCTGACGTTACTAAATAATAGTTGAGAAAATTCCGCATCCAACGAGCCCTACACTGAGAAAAAAAATTTAGTGTTTGGAATTTGATTCCATCTCAGCTTATAGTTTAAGAGAACAGTTTGTTTAAATTTCTTACAAGGATGGGTAGTCCAGTTGTCAGAGCTCCCGACTTTCAGTTTTAAAACAGAGGTTCGATCCTAGGCGGAAATGAGATTTTTCAAAGTTCACAAATATTTCAATTCGATAATTTACTCTCCCTACATACGCAGGGTTCGAGACTTTAAAATACATTTCATACCTTAACCTAATTACAAAAATTCTTATCCTAAACGCAAAAACTTAAAACTAAACGCAAAACTTGACCTATAATTCTAAATCCGCCATTGTGCCAGGGCTTCCGTTTCCAGTTTCAAATGCCCTTTCGGCTTTGTCCCCAAAGAATCGCCCACCCTTTAATTATCAACCCCATTCTTTCTTTTCTCATTCTCTCTAAACCTTTCATCCACTTTTCACCCTGTCCATTCTCATCCAAAATCCAACATACTCTTTCCCCCACCCCCTTTTCCTCATCCATTCCTCCCACACATCTATCCAATACGTGATCCCAGCTCTCTGTTTCATACCCACATATTCTGCATTTTCTATTACCCTCTTCCATCCAATACTTACATTCTTTCATACCTTCACCCATTCTGAACCTGCACACTCTATTCCATTCATCCTATTTCTTTTTATTCTTCAAATACCCCGGTAACCCTTCCCCCCTTACCATTCTGTACCATCTATTATATCTGGATCCAAAAATCTTCTCTCATCTTTACTGAATATCCTTTCTGATACATCCATCTTTTATATCTCCTTCCACTCCACTCCATCTTCTTCCTTCTTCTATAGCCTCCCTTCTCCCTCTTTCCCATCTTGATATGTTCTTTCTTCCTCTCCTTATTCCTTCCTTCACTAATGCCCAGCACATCTGTGCCACCTGACTCCCCTTCCCCTGTTTCAGCTTTTCCTCTAACCCCATCGCTCTTCTTCTCTGTCTTATTACCAGCTTTTCCCTACCCAACTCCTCTCTCAGCATATATCCCGGACTGTTCTCATCCACTCCCATGGTCCATCTCAGAAACCTCTCATGCATTCTTTCCAATTTCTCAACTTCTCTCCATCCCCATATTTCAACACCATAACTGATCACAGACCATACCAACACATCAAACAACCATATTCTCTTCCTCCAATCATTCTTTAATCTTCTTTCCCTAATCTCCCATATTTGCTTCATCACTTTTCCTCCTTTCTCAATCCTCCTACTCACATTCAAATCCTGACTTCCATTCCATTTAAACCAATATCCCAAGTAGCAAAATTCATTCACTTCTTGCACACTTTTCCCATTCATACTCCATACTTCCTTATCCTTCACTCTTTTCTTTCTAAAATTCATAACTTTTGTTTTATCCACATTTATCCACAAGTCCTTTTCTCTTACATACAACTCAAACTCTCTCATCAACAATCTCAAACCACTCTCTTCCTCAGCTATTAAAACCACATCGTTTGCATATGCCAACGTATATACTCTTCCCTTCCCTAGCATAACTCCTCCCTTCCCTCTCCTCTTCATTTTTTCTTCCAAGTCAGCCATCAGCAAATTGAATAATAATGGGCTCAACGGACACCCCTGTCTCAGACCCCTCCCCAACCAAAAGTCCTTTCCTAATTTCTCCCCTATTTTCACTCTTTCTCTTGTCTCCTCATAACATTCCTTCACTCTTTCAATTAGACCTTGGTCCAATCCTAGTTTTCCTAAAACCCTCCATAATACCCCCCTGTTCCCCGACGGAAACGCCGCTTTCAGGTCCACAAACAAAGCAACTAACTTTCCTTTTTCATTTTGAAGATTCCTGTTCACCAGGTAGTTCAGAACATAAATATTGTCCACTGACCCCATTCCCTTCCGGAATCCAGTCTGATTATGTGGAATACATCCCAATTCTTAGACCCTGTCCTCCAATCTTTTCCTGAGTATCTCCGCATATACCTTGTATCCCACTGTCATCATCGTTACTCCTCTGTAATCCTCCACCTTCTTCCCACTCCCCTTCTTTACTATTGGCACTATCCAGCCAGTCTTCCACTCTTCCGGCCATCCTTCACCCTTCCATACCTTGTTTATTATAATCCACATTTCCTCCCTTATTACCTCCCCTCCATATTTTAAACATTCTCCCTCAATTCCATCTCCTCCTGTTGCCTTGTTCTTCTTTAATCTCCCTATAGCTGCATCCACCACTTCCCTGCTTATTCCACTTAGCCCTATCTCCCTACCCCTTTTCCTTCCTTCCCCTCTTATTCTATTATCCATTTTTCACTTAATCCCTTGAAATACTCCGTCCAATCCTCGAGCTTGATCTCCCTGTTCACCCTCTTTCTATTACTTCTCTCTCTATTAATCATTTCCCATTCTTTGCTCTCCTCTATCGCCTTCTCTACCTCTTCCATAAATCTTACTTTTGCTTCCTCTCTTTTCCTTTTCACCAACTTCTCATGCTCCTTATGTATCTTATTATACTCCTTCTTTTCCCTTTCCTCCATTCTTTTATATATCTCCTCAGCTACTCTCGGCTTCTTTCGCACTCCTCATTCCACCAGCCTTTTTTCTCATTTTTTCCTCCCATTTCCTTCATATCCGCTCTAACGCTTTCTATTACTGCCTTCAGTCTTCTCAATCTCTTGTCCACACATTCTTCTCCTTCCAACTCTTTGCCTCTACTCTGAATCCTCCTCTCAAATTCCACCAACTTTTCCAAACTCCATTTTCCCATTTTCTCTTCCCTTACCGCACCTTCGTCTCTGCCTCTTCTCGCTTTCCTCTTCTTCATTCTCTCTTTTAACTCCACTATCAACGGGAAGTGACCGGAGTCCACCTCGCTTCCTACCTCCATTCTTCTAATCCTTGTCCTTGTCCTCTCATCTGCTATCACATAATCTATCACTGTTTCCCCCCTGCCCACAAACGTAAATTCCCTATTCTCATCACCTTCTACACTCCCGTTGCAAATTGACCACCCTCTTTCCCCTATCAAACTCAACATTTCTCTTCCTTCATTGTCCACCTCCTTATGTTTGGACTTTCTATTATATTTTTTCTCTTTTTCATTCCATTCTCCTCCTCCTCCAAGTTCCCCCGTCCACACGTTGAAGTCTCCCCCTATTAATACTTTTTCATTCTTCCCTTTCTCCATTCAGTCTTCCATCACCTTCCATCCTTTTCTTTCCCCCCTTCTCCTGTAAACTCCTACCACTGTTAACCTCTCCCTGCCAAACTTCATCCTCCTTACCATGAATCCTTCCTTCTGGTATATTTCCTCTTCTTTTATCTCTTCTATCCCTACCCTTACTCCTGAGATCATCCCTCCCGCGCTCCTTCCCTTTATTGTGTCCCTTTTCGCTACTTGCATCTCCCATCTAAACCCATCTAAATTCGATAAATATAAATTCAATGTTAAATTGAAAATAAATAAATAATGAAATAAATAAAAAAGATAAAAAGAAAAGAAATAAGGTAGAATAAAATTTTTAATTTCACAAAAAAAACTGTTTGTTTGATCAACCAAACATTTTTGTTGACCTAACAAAAAAATTTGGTTGAGCTAACCAAACATTTTTGTTATGCCAACAAAAAACACTCCACCAAATTTTTTGGTTGACTCAAACAAATAGTTTGTTTGCTTAAATACCAACAAAATTTTTTTGTTAGCCCAACCAAATTTTGGTTGCTCTGACTAAACATTTTACTCAGTGTATATGAAGTACTTTGGGTTAGTGGATTGTTAATAAACAATTGGCTAACATGGCAATTGTTTATAAAAAATCCTCTAATCAAAAATAGTCCATATAGTGCTCGTTGGATGCGGAATTACGCCAGCTTTCAATTGGTACCTTTAGGATTGCCATAACTTTATTTATTTGTGAAATATTTCATTTTTTATTAACAGTAATTAATTAATATCTCAAAAATAACAAAATAGGACATCTCAATATTTTTTGTGGTGAAAATACACATTTTTAGCTTTCAAAAGAAAAATAAATAAAAAAATAAAAAGGACCGAACTCAAAAAAAATTCGAAAAAACTTTAATTTAAAAAAAAATGGGTAAAAATATGAATTTTTTGAAATTTTTTTTGCACCATTCGAAAGAGCAGGAAAAAACCTTTCAAAAACATACAGGTCAAATTTTTCTTCTTCTTTCTGTATAAAAGTTACAAGTCTTCAAATATTCACTGTTTAAATTTTTCAAAAAATTACTTACCCCTAGGACTAAACTATGTGCAAGTTACAGCTCGATTCGATCAACTTTTTTTTTACTTAGTTTGATACAGGAATTTTACCCCAGGGATATTGTCTATTTAAACATTCTAAAAACGAATTACATATTTTAAGAGTCTTTAAATTAAAATAAAGTAACTTTAAACCTGAAGGAGACCGATTTTTTTCATTTAAGGTCATAAAAATAAGCTTCAAACATTTATTTCAAGTTTGAACAATTTTTTACCAATTTGGTAACCTCTAGCACTAAAATGCATAGTTTTAAAAAAATTGAACACTTAAAAATAAAAAATAAATTTTTTTTAAATATAAAAAGCACAAATTTTGCATAAAAATCAAAATAGCGACCTCTAAAAAAATTTGAAAAAATCTGACATATTTTGTGGGTCAAAAAAGTCTAATTTCAGGTTAAGGTTTTAGAAAACCGAAAAAAAGTTTTCGGTGAAACGCCCTAATTATTATATCTATCTAATTTCCGAGCGTGAAACTCAAGTTCCGTTATGAGAGTGTTATCTTTGAACTCATAGTACTTTAAAAAAATTATATTCCTTTTATAAAGTCCATTAATTACACATACGCACTACTTGTCAAAATTGAGAGACCACTTGCCAAATTGGCATTAAAACATGATTTTTTTAAAAGTTTATAACTCTGTTGAAACCCTTTAATGGACGGTGGGACATATATGTTCCATCTACTTCAAAAATCATAACTTTTTTAAATTTTAGCATATTAACTCCGCTTTGGTCTCGTTTTGAAGCTCTGGTTAAGAAGTTATTGAAATTCTAAATGATAGACATTTATGACATTTTATTTAGTCGATTTTTTATTCGGTCGAAATTTTCAATAACCGATATTTATGAAGGTCGACATTTTATTTAGTCGATATTTTACTTGATCGAAAATCTAAATGGTCGATATTTAAAGTGGTCGACATTTTATTTAGAGGATATTTTATTTTGTCGAAATTCTAAATGATCGACATTTAAAGTGGTCGATATTTTATTTGTTCGATATTCTAAATGATAAAAATTTAGAAGCATCGAATTTTATATCCATCGAAATTTAATTTGGTTGATATTTTAAAAGCTCGACACTTTTTTAGCTATACGAGTTTCCTTTCTACGTAGATTGTTGGTAAAGTACATTAAAATTATTGATGTAAATCATAATAACAACATAGAGAGGAAACTCGTATAGCTAAAAAAATGTCGAACTTTTAAAATATCGACCAAATTAAACTTCGATGGATATAAAATTCGATGCTTCTAAATTTCTATCATTTAGAATATCGAACAAATAAAATATCGACCACTTTAAATGTGGATAATTTAGAATATCGACCAAATAAAATATCGTCTAAATAAAATGTCGACCACTTTAAATATCCAGCATTTAGATTTTCAACCAAATAAAATATCGACTAAATAAAATGTCGACCATTTAAAATTTCGACCAAATAAAATATCGACTAAATAAATTGTTGACCACTTTATATATTGATCATTTAGAATTTCGAATAAACAAAATTTCGACCAAATAAAATATCGACCACTTTAAATGTCGATCATTTAGAATTTCGACAAAATAAAATATCGACTAAATAAAATGTCGACTTTCATAACTGTCGTTCTTTTAGAATTTCGACCAAATAAAATATCGACTTAAAGTAATTCGATCAATTAAAATTTCGAACTTTTTAATTTTTGGGAAAAATCATGCGTCTCAACATTTATGACAAATAAGCGTTATTTGCGAGAAGTGATGCTTTTTGCTTTTAATTCAAAAAAATCTGCGGCACATCGACTGATTGTTGACACTTATGGAGATGCCTCTGTAAGTGAAAGAACGTGTCGCGAGTGGTTCCAACGCTATAAAAGTGGTAATTTCAATGTTAAAGAAAAGGAGCGTACTGGAGGGATAAAAAAGTTTGAGGATACTCGAGGATACTGAATTGGAGGCTTTATTAGCTGAAGATTCATGTCAGACACAACAAGAACTTGCAACATCATTAGGTGTCACTCAGCAATCCATTTCACACCGATTGAAAGTCTTAGACATGATACAAAAGCAAGGAAATTGGGTGCCCTACGTATGGAAGCCGAGAGACATCAAACGTCGACTTGTCATGTGCGAACAACTGCTCCAACGGCAGAATAGGTATGTAGAAAAGGTAAATACTGTGTATTTGGTGGGACCAACTTGGTATCATCTACTATGAACTTGAATCCTGGCGAAACCATCACAGTGGCTCGTTACCGAACACAGCTGATGCGTTTAAGCCGAGCTACGAGGGAAAACGTCCACAATATGAGG